TGAAACTTGTCACTCTGTACTTAATATGGCGTGTTATATTGAGTACTTAATATGTTTTCACTTTGTACTTAATATGTTTTCATAAAAAATCGCAATTTAAAAAAAATTTAGTTTTTTTTTTCAGATTTAAAATTTTCACGTTATTACTGCTCCATAGAACTTAAAAGGCAGTTGGAACATTCAGGGCTTTCCCCTGATACGAGCAGTCTTGTTTGATTTTCCTCTGAAATCACACCCATTTAAATAATTAACACATATGTGGCACATATGTGTATCGATACGCCCCCTTGGTAAGCACAGATGTTTTTAGTCACTATCTTTTAAGTATTTTTACGGAGTTTTTTGCTCCGACTTTCGATAGAAAAACAACGGAATATTTGTGCTCGGAGTGGGTTTTTTTTCTACAGACAAATTTCGACATTTTAACTAGCAGTTTTTGACGGAGTTTTTTATATCATTCGAAAGGTATTGTCGTTCTGAGCTTAATTTTGAAAAGATATTTCACTTGTGATCATTTTCTTAAAGTTATGGGGTTTCAAAGATTGACATTTTGGCCAATTTGGGACAATTAACGCGCAAGCGCAGAGTTAATCCGTCTTAGAAATTGTTCCAAATTGGTTCAAAGAAGCTTATTTGCCATAATTAATTTGTAACAAGGAGCGAAGTCTATCCTTTTGTACTTTATTTGGCGTGTGGGGGGATGGTTTTATAAAAAAAAAAACTTGAAATTTCAAAAAAAAAGTTTCATTCATTTTGTTTTATTACATTTAACTTTTTAATGTTATTACTGCCCCATAAACCTTAAAAGGCAGTCGGAACTTTCAGGGTTTCACCCTGATACGAGCAGTCTTGTTACTTTTTGATCAGAAATAGATTATTAGAAATTAACGAACCGTTTTGAAACCGCATATTTTTTATTTTCTTATTGCCTCTTCGGAACATGATTTACTTTTTAACTTGACATTACTTTTGATGATCCAAAACTCCGATTGAAAAAAAAACTATGACCTACAGCTTGAGTATCATCTGCATGCAGTTTACAGGTATTTCAATCAAATCAAAACCACAATGAAAACTGAACCAAGTTTTCAGTTTTAGTGTTTTTTCAACAATTCTATTATTATTCATAGAATTGAAAGAACAAGCTTGTTTTTCGAAGAAAGAACAAGACTTTTTTCTAATTAAAAAATAGACTTACTAAAGAAAACAAACGTTACTTTTTGTCTGGTTGTCCAATTTTAAAGTTCATGATTTCCCGAAGGATTTTCCGAGGTGCACTACCCTCATTTCAGTGGGCCTTATGAAGTAGTTTTTGAAAAACTGCACGAGGATGATAATGCCATAAAAATAGTTCTGTAGGGTTCATAGAAGGCGTCGAAAAGACTGATCATTTAGAGTAAAATCAAAAAGTGTGCTCGTATCAGGTCGAAACCTTGAAGTACCTGATCGCTTTTTGCTGAAAAAATCTCAAAAAATCTTGATGTTATTTTCAGAAAACAAGGAAAATTTTTAATAACTTGGTTAAAACCGAGCACTACCTCAAACGCCATGGAACTCTCAGCCGGATTAAATGCCGCTTACTCTACCGTTCAAAATACAGAATTGGTTAAAAGAGTGGTTCAAAGCTCCATGATTTTGGCCACAAGTAAAATATATTGTTCTCTGCCTGTATTAAAATCTCCGTCAAAAGTGAAAAGCCAAAGCTTGTTTTGGGGAAAAACAACTTCCGCGCAAATATTCCGTCACGATAATCAAAATCCGCGAATAATTAGTATGTTTTGTGCACAATCAAACTATCGTTATTCGGAAAAAATAACGGTATATGCATGTTTGGTTTTTTAATCAGGCCAATTTTGACCTTCAATTACCGTTTGTAAAAGAAGTTTTTTACAACCCCTTCCCCCTTAATCCGCCCTGCCGTGAGCTCATCATCTTCAAAACAACATATTGAGTGGGATTAACTATTGCGAAGTTATGGAGTTTGAAGACAGCCTTTTTGGCCACTTGGAGATAATTTACGCGTGCAAAAGACCTGTTTTCTATTAATGCAAAGCAGTTTGACGCGAACTTTCCTACTTTGAAAAAGTTTCCAGACATTCTAATTTATTGAACTTAGTGTAAGCAGAGGCAAAATACATCATTTTAGATATTGAATTGGAAATAGACGCTCTTCAAAAATAAAATTTTATATGCACAGAGGCGAAGCTGAGCTTCGCATCACATGCGATACAAAAATGTACGACTATGAATACCATCAAATGATAAGACAAATCAAAAGTGAAAACAAAACCTTCAAAAATATCGCTATTTTTTTGTCAAAAAAATTATAAAAACTACAAAAAGGACAAAAATTCCTGAAATAGAATTACCTGCACCATTTGAAATTTTACAAAGAGCTTTCAAAATGCTTAAAAATGAAATTAAACCTTTCTGCAGGACCTGAGCCGACAAAAATTAACTTACATGAAAGTCTAGAATCTTCGAAAATTTTCAGTTTCGAAAAAAAACAGGTCTCGACTAAAAACGAACTTCAGGAATTTGTCGCTCAAGCATGAATGTTACCACTGCACTAGATTAACAGAACTCTCCTTGAATTTTGAATTTATTAAGAAAACAATTTTTAAACGTTTTTGATGAACAGCATGAGAAAAAACCATAGAAACCAAGAAAAAATAGTCAAAACGGGAGCTCAATTACTTGCCTGAAGCCGGAATACACTGCAATGTTTTTAATTTGAGTAAAAATGCCCTAACTTTCGGTGCTGCGGTAACTGCGGTAAGCTAAGCTGCGGTAACTAAGACGACACAAAACTAAGCCGACAAGGAAGCCGACAAAGAAGTCCCAGATTTTTTACAAAGATTTTTACTGGACATTGCATAATTTAACAAGAATAGCCAGTTACTGTGCAAATAGCACAGAATATTTTGATCATCATCTTGAGAAAATACCACACGAAAGCTTTTCCAAATGAGTTTCGTTTTTTTTTGCCGAGGTGTAATAAAAGGAGCTGTACAAAAAACTAGAGTTTAGGCATGTTCGGCAGTCATGGAAAAAGAAACTAATTGAAAATTAGTTTTTTGTAGAAAAATGATCAGAGAAACAAAAAAAAACAAAACAAATTTAAAAATTTTCGAAGTTTTTGATTCCAAAAAATGAACGTTATTTAAGTAAAAATAAATTTTCACGTTTTAAATTGAGTTATTGTAAGCTCTTAGGCCATAAAATTAGGCTATTGTATGCCTGCTCGCTCGCTTTATTCGCTCGAATTAAGACGAAAACAAAAAATTTCAAACCAGTTTTTCTTAACAGTGCAATTTTTTTGAAATGTCGTTCGAATCAAGAATCAAAGAGATTTTGTATGATATATAATCATCTTTCTTCGATGCTTATTAGTGGTAGCTGATTTTGCGTGGAACACAACAGAGAAAAAAAGACGAAAAAACTAAAGCACACCCAAATATAAAGTTGCTCCGAATTTTTCAAATGATTGGAACACGTACGTTCAATGTTACATGAAAAAAACAGTTTTTTGATCCAAACACTTTGTCAGAACAAGAATGAACTCAAAAGCCCAGTTTTTAAGAAATTACTCCTAAACCTTTTTAATTTCAAATTTTTTGGACAATCTACCGAGTTTTATTTTATGATGGCAAGGATTTGAAAAAATTACGAGAGCGCTAAAAAGTTAGAAGTAGACAAATGTTTCATACTTTTTTCTCAAAAGAAAACTTTCGCTATCCTTAGTAGACAACAAAAAAAATATACAAGAGTCTCTGATTAGTTTACTCAGGAAAATATATATATATATATAAAGTTAAAGCGTTCAATTATTATTCATTCGCTTTTTTCGGAATTCGTAACAAGCGAAGATACTTTATTGCACAAACTGGTCCACAGCTGCCCGATCCGGACTTCGGCCGGCAGTGTTTGTTTTGTCCATCAATCATATTTTTTTTTGACGAAAGCCACAATCTCAACCAAACTAGCACCGCATAAGATAATCTTTGCAACGAGGTATTGCAAAAACGGCTTCTACCAATCGCTAAAGCATACTCTTTTGTTTCTAGTTTTACGCCACTTGATGAAAATTTGAGTACTTTCCTGAAATGGATCCTTATTTTGACAATTGCATTGCTATATTTCGAACTCCTTCAAATTTCGTTTTTCAAAAATTTAAGCAAAACTACTAATTCGGACAGAAAAGAAATTTCAACAATCAAGACGAAATAATTCACTTAAAATTGGTTGCTCAATAGATAAATTTCAAAATTAAGCGCTTGAAAAACACTAGTAGGAAAAAATGTTTACAATACTCGCTACAAACGTAGCATAAAACGAACTTAGTTCTAAAATAGAAACAAGCAGCATTTTGGATGGTGAGGTTTTTGATTCCAGAGGGAAGTGTAAATTGCTTCCCCTAAATCTACGCCTTACTCCAACAATCAACCAAAAGTTGTCAAATTGACAGAAAACACCAAATTTTGCTCAAAAAACCATACGGAAGTAGCTTTCTCAAAAACGCCGGAAAGTAGCCAAACTTTTTTAAAAATATCAACAGATTTTTCGAATGAAATTAGAGATGGTTTTAATCGTCCCTTTTAACAGCGATTTCTCGGCTGTTTTAGGGGCTTCACATTTTCTTAAAGTTATGTGTTTAATGACTGGCAGGTGTGTGTTTACTGCGCCGTGGAACGGGACTGGCCAAATTTTTCCATAACTCATATGCTTTTTTCTTGGCAAATTTTTCTAATCTAAAAAAGATCCACAAAACGTTGAAGCCCCCCCTCGCCCTCTGTCCAAGAGTTCATGCGCACGACAATAGCGCTTGATACTTTCTGAAACCGTTAGGCTAGATGGTAATTTCTATCCGTAATTACGCACGCTGTTTTGGTTATAATTTAGTTATAATAGCTCACCTGTTGGAAACTATATATGGGTTGGGGATTGGAAGGGGAATTCTTGACTGGCAGCTTGTTCAATAACTCACTATCACCACTTACGTTTTCTTGGAATTCGTTGACTCTGTTCCACGATTGTTGTTGCGAGTATGAGGCGAAAATGCCATTCAGTATCAGACAAAAAAGAAGAGTGCTTAGAATATAAGATGTCATTTTTGTTAGTTTTACAAAAATTGAGGGTGGATCTTAAAAAAAGAAAGTAATCACAGCGGTTGGTTGCAACTAATTATTGTTATCATAAGTCGTACGATTCCGTTTAAATAATGAGGAAAATCATTTTACTTTTATAGCTCCGAAGTATAAATGGGAAAATTGAAATTGGCTGACAGTTGGAGCAAAAGGTATATTTTTCAGCCAATCCGAATGCAATATTTTAAGCTTTCTGAAATGAAAGAAATTACAGAGGGATAATTCAAGGAAATAAAAATGAAAATTTGTATTGGCAACCTCAATTAACACTAAACTAAGGAAAACTTCAGAAAAATTTCAAGACTTTTTGGAAGTTTCACAGGCTAATGAAAAAAAAGGACTTGGAAATAATTCAATGATAATGATGATGGAACTAACATAAGTGATCGATAAATTGCTATTGGCTTTTTTTGCCGAGCAATTTGTAGTTATTCCAAAAATTAACATTAAAACAGAGCAATAAATGAATTGAAATAGTTACTCTGAAATCAAGACAGAACATGCCATAGATGAACCCAAAAAAAAAGAACAAAAGGATCTGAAATTTCAAACTATCAATAGTTAAACCACTCAAAATGCCGTTAGCTATTCAAGCTCTTCTTGTATAAATTGGAAAGAAAATCTTGATGATTCATTTTAGCATTGAAAGATAACATTGGGTTTGACATGTTTGTTTTGAAGTTACTCGGTATAACCCCCGGCAAATGTTAATTTTGAGTCTCATTATTTTCATAACTTTGATTTGATCAGAGGATGAGCGTTTCTTAAGCCCACGTCTTTTTTTGACACCTTCCTTTTTTAGATTTAAAGTCAGAAATTTTCTCTCAAAATGCCAAGAAAACATGTTTTATATGGCGATCATTCCTTGAACAAAGATCCACTGAAAGCTGAAAGAAGAGTATTTATGTGCCTCTAGCCGAGTGACTCATTTAGCTATTTAGGCGTCAAGGTTTTCGCAAACTGGGGCGAGAAAGATTAGGGGTCTGGAAGAAAAAGTTGCGTGGACTTTTGTTTAATACGATACAACTCAGTTACTTCTGTACCACAGGTAGTTTTTGGAAATCAGCCAAAAATGCGGTTTGGCTTGGCTCTTTTTGGAACGTTTCGAACAGAAAAATTACCTTTGCACTCTCCTCCCCATGGAGCTAAGGCTAGAAGTGAGCCTCAAAATACAATTTTTAAGTTTATACAATAACAAATGCAATTTTGACTTTCGCTTGGATGGTTTAAGTTTCAAATGACCACTCGCCTCAGCACCGCATTCAATTTGGATGAAAAACAATAGCTTGAATATGACCAGACCAATTTGAAAGCTTAAGTATGCTATGGTTTTAAGATTGATATGGTTATATTCGAGCCATTGTATTTCATCCAAATAGTGAGTGGTGCTGAGGCTAAAGGTACTTAAAACTTGAACCATCCAAGTAAAAACCAAAACTCGCTTCGCGATTGTGTAAGTTTAACAATTTTATATTGAATATTAGCATAAGATTGTATCTAAATTGAACTAAACTTTGTTCAAACTTAGCAGCAAACGATTAAACAAAGGTGTTCCAGAATAGAAGATTCTGGAGATGGCAGTATGACAAAATCGAAGACAGTATTTGTTGAAGCAGTTAACCTTACATCTAGAAACAGAGGATTTAGAACTGCAAATTAAGTGGCGCTACAGATGAGCAAAGAGAGAAAGGACTGAATTATTTTTAACCAAAGAGACAAATCAAAATGATGACTTTCATCATTTTGATTTGTCTCTTTGGCTAAAAATAATTCAGTACGAGCATTGATTTACGAGCATTGATTTTAAAAGAATTGATGCGATCTAGTTAACGGAGTGCAGCCTGTATTTAGACAACCGCGTATTCATACTCGTCAGTATTTAGACAAATACTATATGAACCAATCAGAATCGAGAAAATACATAAATAATCCAAATTAAACCATAATTATTTATTAATTTCTTCTTTGTCTCGATTCTGATGGTTGAAACAGTATTTGTCTAAATACTGACGAGTCTGAATACGCGGTTGTCTAAATACTGCTATGTAACCGTAGTTAACTTATAAAACTGTGCAGTATTTTGAAAACTTTATAATAATTCACTATAAAATTGCGATAAACATAAGAAAAAAGGCAGTGATATAACTAGATTAATTGTAATTTAACTTTATTTGTAGTTTTTTTTAATAAACACTTAATTTTTTCGAAGTTTTTTTAGGCTTTAGGCTTCAGCATAGTTTCTGCCGGATAGAGGATTGCGTTAGGTAGTGAGAACATTTTATGATTCAAGTTATTATGACTCAAACTGGATTTAATCTTATTTTGTGTTGAAACTTTTAAAAACAAAAGGAAGAAAAAACTCAACTTTTGCGCAGAAACTCCTACCAATGACTTACAATGAACCCAAAAACATACACTAAAGCCTTTTTTCAACTAATACAATCTACACGTGAAATACATTGACATTTACCAATAACATATCGCGCCCGATACTAAAGATTCCTACCTGAAAAAAAACACATAAACCAAACACTGAATTTTTACCAATTCTATTCACAATTTTAATACATTTCAATTATGACTCTGCATTACTCTATACATAATGTTGACACATAGCGCGGAAGACCCGAAACCTATAAGTCATATTATTACATAGGGTCTCCCGCTCACCCGTTCCCACTTCAACTCTTATATCTACTGCTCCCTCTCCCGCTCACAACCTACAACTCCTCGCTTTTATCCACACCAACCCCGCCCTGTGCACACCTAACCACGGCATGGATGACCTTCCCCCACAAAAACAGCTTTCCCCCAAACGTCATTGAACAATTGGCAAATAGTTTTTGCAGTGCAGAGATTACAGCCAAATATAATCAATTATAATGGCTATCAATGCAATTGAAAGGAATTCATTTTTAAGAACATATTCTATTACACAGAGGCAAAAATTCGCTTCGCAAGCACTAGCGATGAAGCGATAAAAAGTGGCTATAAAAATGGCTATAAAAAGTGTAAAAAGAAAAAATAGAATTAAGTCTCGTATTGGCAAAAATTTGGCTAGGTCTAGGTTTCGATCTGCGATCTACTGCAATCAAAAAATTTTGAGCCTCTTGCACTAAACACTCCATCACGCACGCTTAACCACCGAAAAACACTAGTCACGAATAAAACAGCTAAATATGCTAATAATTTGACAATCTGATTTAGCAACAGTGGCACCAAAAACAAATAGACCCAATTTTGCAAGTTATAAATTGTAATACATCAAACTGAAGACATTGAAACTAACTTTGCATGTAAAAAATCGCAAGGATTAAAGCCACTTTATGTTTGAATGTTGCATTTCAAAAACTTGCCAGATATATTGAGTTAGAAAATTTCTGAATTCAAGATTCATTATTGCTGTTGTTTGAAATAAATAGCTTTTTTTAGTTTCATTTGATGAATTAAAAGTGCTAAACTGTAATAAATTATTACAATTCACATGTCAAAGCACATGCTATCAAAAAGCAGTAAGAAGACCCAAATGTGGCAACAATATTTGCGACTTAGCTTAGAACAAACACAAAGGTTCTTAATAATACACTAGGATGAGGTTAGTGTAATAATGACAATATAATCGATTTCATAGTCTAATTTTGCAACAATATTGAATGATACGACAAAATTTTAGAACTTTTTTTTGCATCATAATCTACATATATCCATGAAACTCCGGTGTTACCAGCAAAATCGAATTAAATCATACTTTAGGAACACGTAATTGATTTTAATCCATTTTTTCTAATAAAAAATTCAAATTGATTATAATCTATTCTAATGGATTGCAATAGATTATAATCTGTACAATTTTTGTAAAATGAACAGTTTCCTCTCCCATATTTAACCACAGTTTTCAAAACTTTTCTCGATGTTCAAAAAACAAGTCAGAAAAGCTTTTAAACGAAATGAACACCTTTCCCATATTATATTTAACCTAACCTATATTCAACCTAGCCGGTACAGGGGAGATAAGTAAGTAATTAACTGTAAATAAAAAATGCAGGACAGCGAAAACTAACAATTAAAAATATGTTCAAGAAAAATGGAAAATAGATTATTAAAAAACTCAAATACTCGAAAACTTCCCGAAGGGAGGTTCTGGTTATATGTTCAGACTTTGGGGACTAAAATTTGGTATGTTCAGACCATTAAGACAGAGGGGACTACAATCAGTCTACCATACACAGGTTTGAATGTATCTGCATAATTTATCCGGTTCATGCTGCAAAAAAGTCATTTATCAAAAGATTCAGCACAGTACATTTCGTTTAATGCCTAATGAAATTTTTTCAAAACTATGTATGATGATAAATTCAGTTCTTGAGCTTTTCAGAAAAAATCAGACTTGAAAGCAGAGTCAATCTAATTAGTATGTAGATGGGTTTGTTTCAATTTTTATCTCGTCTCAGGTTTTTGTCTAGGATCGTTTGAGCTTTAACTCTAGCCTGCAATCATGTATATGATTTCCTCTTAACTATGTTCAAACTTTGTTTCACACTGTGTTCCGACTATATTTTGACTAATTTATATGAGTTCAATTATCATAGTTATAAATATCATAAGAAAAACAATCATCCTTAACCAGAGGCGGATCTAGGATTTTTTCGAGGGGGGGATTTTCAAAAAATGTTTGGATATTTTGTCGACCTTTTTTTAGGTCGACCAAATTGAATTTTCGAGCTCTCCCAAAACACTAGAAAGTCCCTATTTTGGCCAAATTTTCTGCGCCGCAGGCAAAGTTTTGAAAACACAGGCCAAAAGAGGCGTTTTTAGGCCCTTTTGGAAAATTTTGACAAAAAAATCACGTTTTTTCGGCGCGCGCTCCCCGCTCAAAATTAGTATATATTGGCGCCAAAGCACCTTTAGAACATTTTTAGGGTCCGTCACCAAAAATAGATATTTCAAAATAGTACAAAGGGGGGACCTTTTGGGTCGACAGGGGGTCGAATCCCTGAGAAGGGGCGTCCGACACCCCCGCCCCCCCTAAATCCAATCCCTGATCCAAACTATGCTTCGTTTCAAGACTGACTATACTCAGTTTTTTTGAGGGTAACGCTCGAATTTGTGTGGGTCTATGGTCAGATTTTGTTTGTGACCATGTTCATAGTATCTTTGTGACTATGTTTAGACCTTGTTTGGGAGTGTTCAGAATTTGTTAAGGACTTAGATTCGCGTTGAGCCTATGAAATTTTGACAGGGTTGAGTGGACTGGGACGTTTTGTTTGGAACTATGATTTTGACCTGAATTGATCGAGACTATGAAAATCTGAACATAAAACCAAACCTCGAACTACGTTACCGTGCTAATCCTGAAATTGAATGTATCGCAATTGCTGAAATGTGATCATATAAAACTCAATCACAGCGAACATCGTAAGCTATAGTTTATTTTTTCATAACAGATGCCCGGGTTGAATGAGCATTGATAACGAGATTATGGC